TTTTTTTTTTTTTTTTTTTTTGTCCACTTAATTTCTATATTTTTTTTTTAAATAAATTACCCAGAGTTACTGCCGTTGATTTACCTATAGGAACTGTTAATAATAATAATAATAATAATATAAAAAGGAACGAATAGAGGGCAGGAATGCGTCACCAAAAAATTCTATAGTGCCACATGTGGCACCATATTATGGTGCCACAACATGATGTGGCACATTATAGTTAGTGTCACAACATGATGTGTGATAGTTGTGGCACCAATCATAATGTGCCACATCATGTTGTGGCACCATAATATGGTGCCACATGTGGCACTATAGAATTTTTGATCTGTCACCCCCCTTTCTTTGCGAATCTGGCCTTGCTCTTTTATTTGTGGGTGTTACTATTTACCACATGTGTTTTATTTACCGCTCCCAAAAATGACGATTTTGCCTTTTTAATAAAAAATTAAAAATAATAATAAAAAATCGAAAATTTTGCCCTTTTTTTTTTGCGAAACTCAAACAATCTTCATTCAATCAACCACTTGATCGTACAGAACGAAAAAAAAAAAAGAGATAGAAAATAAGGGAGAGATTCCTTCCACAAGAAGGACCCCGATGACCTAATAGCCCATTTAGCTATACTATGAGCTATAATATTGTGTTCACGACTAATGTGACAGCATAATCCACAATTCGACAACGACAAAAGACTAACAATATCAGCAAAAACATTATGCAAAGGGTCGGTAGGATGATTGTTCAAGATGCCAGAAATAGTAGAAATGGCGTCCGTTTTTGCGGTTTGAATCATGAAGCCTGCATCCAAGGCGAAACGCAATCCAAATTTGAGAGAAAAAGCTTCCGCTGATTCCGGCGAAAAAGACCCTGCCTGATGAGAAGCAAAGACAGCCCAACACAAACCCTCCGAATCACAAATCCAACCACCCACACCAATTGAAGAATCGTTTACCGCCGCATCACAAAAAATGGAGAAACCATTTAAACACGTACCTGGGCCATACCAAGCAGGGGTCGGAGTCGGACTGAGTGTTTGCTGGATACTCGAAGAGCATGGAGACATAGTGTTTGTCTCTTCAACCAATCATTACCGAGCGCCCATATTTGATCCACACTCCTAGCCGGCTTGCCATGTTGAATACGGTTCCTCTCGTTCCAAATTATCCACAGAAATGTTGCAAAGCCCAAAATTTCAATACCCCGATCCCCATCCAGAATTTCACAAAGGATCGAAATTAAACTTTGACCTCGTAATTTTACTAGAAGATCCCACCATCCAGCCGTTTTCCACAATCGTTTAACCCAACCGCAATCAAAGAAAATGTGGATATTTGATTCCAACCCACCACATCTGGCACATTTTGTTTCCGAAATAATTGATCTACGAGCCAGATTTTCGGAAGAGGGGATGGCCATGTGACACAATCTCCACAGAAAAACTTTGATTTTTGGTACTACTTTAATTTTCCACAGTGATTTCACCATCGAGATGTTTTGCTAGAGCACGACTTTTGTTGTTCTCCAGATAATGATTTAAGCAAATGATAGGCGGTCTTCACAGAGTATGACCCATTTTTAGAGAAGTGCCAAATGGTCCGATCTGAAGCGATTATTGCTCAAGGGAATAGATAGAATCTTCTTAGCGTCAATAGGTAGAAAAATACCATTAATCAAATTCTCATTCCAAGCTCCGCTCACCCTGATAAGGTATTTTACTCGGTTAATTCCAAGTACCGGATGAGAGGAATGCCGAAAGAATTGAAAGTGGGGTATCCATCGATCAGAGTAAATATTGATTGACGCCCCGTCGCCCACTCTCCATCTCAATCCGGCTATGAGCGCCTCACAACCCCACAAAATACTTTTCCATAAAAAGGAGGATCCCGCTCGATCCTTAGCCTCCAAGAAATTATTGGATGGAAAATATTTCGCTTTGAGAACTCTAGCCACAAGAGAATCCTGAGACGAAAGTATCCTCCACGCTTGTTTTCCCAACATTGCTTGATTAAAAAAAACCAAGTCTCTGAAGCCCAAACCTCCCTCCTGCTTTGACAGTGTCATTCTGCTCCATTTCACCCAGGATATCTTTCATTCACCATTACAGGATCCCCACCAAAATTGAGCAACAATTTGTCTAATTTGGTTACAGATTGAAATACATAACCTGAATAGACTCATCAAATAAGTGGGGATAGCTTGCACCACATCTTTAATAAGAATTTCGCGCCCCGCTGAGAGAACAAATTATGATTCCATGTATGAAGGGGCTTCCAGATCTTTTCTCGAATCAAGGTGAAAGATTGCTTTTTATCCCTTCCAAACATCGAAGGTAATCCCAAGTATGTTCCAATGAAAGCTGGTGAATGAATTCCAAAAATCGACCAAATGGTCTGGCGAAGAGCTTGAAGTGTATTTGGACTGAAAGATATGGTTGTTTTCTCGAGATTTATTTGTTGTCCAGAAGCGCATTCGTAGAGGTTTAGTGTGTTGACAATTGAAGCAGCCTCTACCGAAGTTGCCTTTGAGAAAAAAATGGAGTCGTCTGCATATAGAAGATGGGATATCGGTGGACCGTTCTTGCTACATTTCAGCCCCTTCAAATTTCCATCCGTTTCTTTTTTTTTTAAAGCAGCAGAGAGCCCCTCTGCACAGAGGATAAACAAGTATGGTGATAAAGAACACCCCTGGCGTAACCCGCGAGACGATGTAACTTTTCCCACAATCTGGCTGTTGATTTTAAAAGAAAAGTTAACAGAGGAGATGCAGTTCCTAATTATCTGTCGGAAACGAACATGAAAGCCCTTCTTAAAAACATTGCATCAACAAAATCCAACTCCACTCGATCGTAAGCTTTACTCATGTCAAGTTTAAGAGCCATTATGAGCATTCCCCTGATGTTTCTTGGACATTGAGTGAATCAGTTCAAAGGCCAAAATCGCATTATCAGTGATGGGCCTGTTAGGAACAAAAGCACTTTGGTTGGCCAATATCAACGGATCTAAGACCATTTTCAGTCTTGAAGCAATGGCTTTCAAAATTATTTTATAAAGCACCGTACACAGACTAATAGGGCAGTAATCACTCACATCAAAAAATAAGGTCTTCGCAGAGAAGTTCACGCACGGTAGGTGGAAGAAGGTCGTCAAGGCGAGCACGTTGGATGCATACGAAGCTGCCTTAGCTGATATGAATGCTATGTACGCGACATTTCCTCGTATGCTAGAATATGTGAAGAAGACATGGTTAGTCCATAAGGAGAAATTTGTCAGAGCATGGATGAACTCTTTGTTACATTTTGGCAACACGACGACGTGTAGGGTAGAGAGTGTCCATGCTACGTTGAAGAGGTGGCTGCACACGTCGACCGGTTCGCTCGGCACGGTGTGGGAGAAGATTGACAAGGAGATTGAGTCTCAAATGACTCAAGTCAGGTATATTCCTTAATTTATACTCCCTCATGTTCTATATAAATGTCGTTCTAGACATTAACACAGTTATTAAGAAATTATTTTGTTGCCTAAATTACCCTTATTTAATGAATAATTAACATTAATTAATGACCATTAGAGCAATAAAAGGAAAAAAGAAAAATAACTTTCAAGGGTTGAAAACCCATCGTCTTCCACGTTTATTCTCTTCAATTTGTGAGTTCACAAATACAGAGCAAATATTTGTACTCATTTTCTTCATTAACTTGCAACTTTGGAGCCAAAATTTCACTAACTTACATATTTGGAGCCAAAATTTCAACGAGGTAAAATCAAAATTCACCTTCAACATTTCAAATTTTGTGAGCAGCATCTACAAATGACTATAAATATGGATAGCTTAATTATACCAATTAAAATTTGCAATGGCTTCAAACATTCCAATCGATTTGAACGAACCTCCTTACGACGTAGAAGATGCAATCTCAATATCTTCACAAAACATTATGATTGAGCTAAAAGCCGACGAAATCCCAGAAATTGGATACAATGTTATCGAGCTCGACTTAAATCAGTTTTTCGAAGATGATGATGAAGTGAGGTCCGAATCATCTGTGGAAGAGATAGTTAGCCAGCAAGTCAATGGTGGAGAAGAAAATAGAGACATTGAAGGTGTAGTTCAAGGGCACGTAATATCGGGTGGACAAGAGATTTTCAACGAATTTGGCGGCCGCAATGGTGAAACAGAAGAAACAAGCCAAGGTGAGTTTTATTGATATCACCTTTTTTTGGTTGGTTGATATTGTTATTTCCTCCAAATTACCCTAAGGTTGTTATTAATATCAACTTCCATGATTGCTCAGTTTTTGCTGCATTATGGTAAGTTTTTCATGGAAAATTTTTGTACAATTTTTGTTACAATC